AAATAACCCCAACATCTCCTAAAAGAACCCCAAAACTCTTAAAAATTAAGAAAAAACCCCACTCATAAAAATGAGAAACAATATAGTCCCTGTAATCCTCTCCTTCACCACCTTCATCCTCCTCCTAACTCCATCAACCGCAGAACAAGAAACTTCATTTGTCTTCCCGGTTGATCAAATCCTCAACAAAACAAGCTCATGGCTCGATTTTCCGGCTAAATACAACCAACCAAAGATCGAACTAACCACATCAACAATCATCGCCGCAGTACTCTCTTTCATCGCCGCATCAATCTCAAGCGCCGGTGGTATCGGCGGCGGAGGTTTATACGTTCCGATAATGACAATAGTCGCCGGACTCGATCTTAAAACAGCTTCGAGCTTCTCTGCCTTCATGGTTACAGGAGGATCTTTAGCTAACGTGGGATGCAATCTATTCGTTAGAAACCCTAAATCCGGAGGCAAAACCCTAATCGATTTCGATTTAGCCTTGTTATTGGAGCCATGTATGCTTCTTGGAGTTAGTATCGGTGTGATTTGTAATCTTGTGTTTCCGAATTGGCTTATAACGAGTCTCTTCGCTGTGTTTCTTGCGTGGTCCACGTTGAAGACTTTTGGAAATGGGATGTATTATTGGAGAATGGAATCTGAGATTGAGAAAATCAGAGAATCGAATCGAGTCGGTGAAGAAGAAGATAAGATTAAGAGTGTGAAATTGCCACTTCTTGAAGATTATGAGAGACCAAAGAGGTTTCCATGGATTAAGCTTGGAGTTTTGGTGATTATTTGGCTAGCTTACTTTGCAGTTTATCTTCTTCGAGGCAACAAATACGGCGAGGTAATCAAAATTTTAATTTAATTCAATTAGTCAACTTTAACTATTATGGTTTTTAGTGTTGCATTTAATGAGCGTAGTTAATGACTTTTTAGATCTGCAGAAAAGGTTTTAATTATCAAATTGGAATTGACAATAGACTAGAGACAAACAAGAAAAAAAACAGAAAAATTTTAAGGAAATGAAAAGTAAGAAAGAAAAAGGCTTGCAACTTTGCAAAATGTTAAAAATATTAGAGAAATCAAATTATTTGGTTATCATGATTACATGAATATATGCATATATAAAAATTACATATTAGTATAATATTCTGTTTTCTTAACCAGTTAATTTTTTGTTTCATCAAACTTTATTTTAATTTCGATTACCATCTCTAACGAGAACTTCTAATTCTAAAGCTATTTATGGGAAAATAGTTTACATAACACAAAAGGAAAAAAAAAAAACTATGACCGAGAATCTTTTTATAAAGACTTGACGTTTAATATGTCAATCAAATTTTCACTTTAAATTGATGTATTTCTAACACTTTAAGACCATCCTTAACCATGACATTCTTAGAGTGTTTTTAAATAAACAAATATTAAAAACACTA